TTTTTTTTTTTTTTAAGAAATCGCAGGGCTGAGAGCTGACCTTTCCGTTTATAAAAAGAGGAGATGAAAGTTACGGGCGGTTCCCACGGCTCGATTAAGCTGAAATCAATCGACTGTGCTAAAGTTGGACACCGGACGACAGTGGTGACACGTGTCGAATCGATCCCTCGAGAGAGGGTTGATCTATGTTTAGAGAGTTGCACGATGACGAGCGTGCAGGCTTGCGGATTAAGTTTGGTGTTGGCGAGCCGTTTATTCGTCCGCGGAATCTGCGTACGTATTTTGAGCCTGGATTTTATCGCTGATGAAACGGATATAGACACAGAAACACTGAATTTGGACGATCTACAACTGTGTCTTTCGTCAAAATTTTCGTTTAAATTAATTGAAGTTCAAATTAATCTCTCAGTTATCTCGATTGACGAGGAGTAAGTGATTCCACAAGAAAATGGAGTTTCAATGGTACTTTGAATTTCAGAATCGTTCATAAAATGAATAATTACGTCAGTCCAAGAATTGTAAATCGTTTTTGGTTCTCGACCAAGTATGTAATATTTAATAGGTAATACAACTTGCATTAATGCTCGTGGTCTACGGTCATAGTAAAATTTTTAAAGATTTATTGCTTATGCTGAAACTTCTTTTCGTCATTACAATATTAATTAATTAGTAGTAAAATAACCTGCATTAATATCCACAATCTATTCACTGCAGTTTTAATAAAAAATTTTCGACGTATTATGTATTACTTGTAATATTTATTTAATTTATAAATTAATTTATTTATTATATATATCATTATATATATATTAATATATTATTTTATAAATTAATTTATTTATTAATGTATTATATAATGTATTATATAATAATAATAAATACTAATACATTATATATTACATTTTATTTCCTGTATTATGTATTACTACGGTGAGTTTGTTTTAATCACTGCACCATTAAATTGGCAGATAAAATAGCGATGATCCACATGATCGTAGTTTAAATAAAATTTTTAAATGTATCATGTTGTGGACCAACACAATCATTCCTATGATAACAAAATCTACATAATATATTTGTCTTACAGCAAAACTTTTCGTGTATATCCTGGCACTTTATCCACAGACATCCCACTCTCGATCCGCGAAAACTCTAAGCAGAAATTAATTTCTCTCCGAGCAAAGGCAAGCCGCTTGAGAATCCGCCTAACGGAGGATCTCCCCTTTGTCCAATTTCTTCTTCCCTGCCTATCATTCACGGAATCCACCCCCAACTGCCCCACGGGTATATCGTCCACTCCCTTTCTATCGATTCTGTGTTGTTTCATAATTTCCTTGGCTACGAATCAACCCCCTCCGCTTGATTTTCAGTGTTCCTCCGCCGGAAAAAGCAGCCCGGTATATCGTACAAAGTCGTCGGCTGCGATACGGAAGCACGTCGCGACGGAAATCCTGGCGTCTTCGCGACGTCAGAACGCTAACAAACGGCATGCCGCGTTTATGGTACCACACTGGTGGAGTGTTTACGCGGCGTAAAAGATGCACCGAGAGTGAGTTGGTCCCTCTTCCAAAGGAAAAGTTCGAATTCCTTTCTATATTTCTCCAACCCCTTGTCCTATGATTTTCTTCTCAATCTGCCATTTATCCAAATTTATTGTAATCTGTGTCGGACGTGAGCTACCGAAACGTTGCGCAGTTATATACGATTTGTACTTATTGATTCTCAATTTTGAATTCGAATTCGAGTGACGCGACTTTTCTTTTGAAAATCGAAACCGCGAGGACGTTGTAAGACAAGGGATTAATCGTTCTAAACACTCATACGAAGTCTAATATCGACTGTAACTTCCTCTAATATTTCGTGTAAACGCGTGTTTAAAAAAATCAACGTACTTTGTGCCTGCTAGTTCAAAAAGGGTCCAATTAAAAATTTATCAATTATTCCTGCCCATACGTTTAAACTAAACTGGTGTTGATGTGCTCTCGAATGCACAATCCCAATTATGATTATTATGAAAATTGAATGTATCATTCCTGGTAAAACTAGCTTCATGAGTATTGCGGTCTATGGAAAGAGAGTTTGCTCTGTTTATAAAATTCATTATATCTCATAAACGAAGACAGACAGGGCATATATTTATCTGACGTTTTTTCATTACTTTTAAACGTACAGTCAGCTCTACAAGTTACGAAACACCCTGTATAATAATATATAAGAATACGTGTATGTACCCAATGCCCAAGAAATACATAAAATTACTACCAGATCACGCTCCATCGAATGCCGTTCAATTTTAATTTCACACTTCCCGGCCCCGTAGATATCAATCGCTTAGACTCGTACAGCTTCTTCCATCTGCCCATCTACACGCGGAAACAAGGATCTCCATATTTTTCTATTCCTCCTCTCCCCCCCCCCTCCACCCATTACTCCTCTCCTCTCGCAAACTAGAATAATCACAACAAATTACCTCGCTCGTTCGCGCGAACGTAACGAACGGCGTGGAAACGAGGGTGAAAAGCGCGACCGCGGCGACCGGAATTCCCTTGGAAATGAATCGAGATTATTTTTACGGTCGTGTTCGAAAGTTTCCGTGCTTGAATCAGACAGAGGGTGTGAGACGTAGGAACACGACGAAATGTGGGCGAGGTGGGGAGATGGGGGGGGAGGGGGAGAGCAGACTCAGAGGGGGTTGAAGTTCGACTCCCGGAGTTCCGAGTGGCTGGAAATTAGCTTACTTAGACGGCAGACTGGAAATATTGGCAGATAAGCGATATAGCCTGGCGAGCGACCGATAAGGGTACAGCCAGTAGGGTCGCCCCTGTTCTACGACCCTCGATGGAAACGCGGCTTATTGTCACGCCGCTCGACGGGGGGAGGGGGGTTGGGTCTCGGATGCTGGGGCTCGATCCCCCGGTGTCGTTGGATGGTTTATTGGGACGTTTCGAGGAATGGACGTGTTCCTGGCCGTTGGAAAATTGTTACAGACTGATAACACACAGGAATGGCAATGTAGGTTGTTCACTGGTTCATGTTTGCTGGTGTGTAGAGTGGTGTCTCGCGTAGCTGCTGAAAGGATCTCTCGGAGCAACTGTCAGCGTCTCTATTTGTGTGCACTCTAACATTAAATGAACTGTACGAGGTTTTCGAAGTTTTCTAGGTCTTTTTTATTTTTTTCGAAGTTTTCTAGGTCTTTTTTATTTTTTTTTCTGTTTGACGAAACTAAATTACACGCGTGCAACTATTTAGATCGACGAACTAATCGCCGAGAGAGAGGGGTTGGGTCTCTGATGCTGGCTCGATCCCCCGGTGTCGTTGGATGGTTTATTGGGACGTTTCGAGGAATGGATGTGTTCCTGGGCTTTGGAAAATTGTTACAGACTGATACCACACAGGAATGGCAATGTAGGTTGTTCATTGGCTCATGTTTGCTGGTGTGTAGAGTGGTGTCTCGCGTAGCTGCTGAAAGGAGCTATCGGAGCAACTGTCAGCGTCTCTATTTGTGTGCACTCTAACATTAAATGAACTGTACGAGGTTTTCGAAGTTTTCTAGATCTTTTTTATTTTTTTTCTGTTTGACGAAACTACATTACACGCGTGCAACTATTTAACTGTATCCGTTACGAGGAAAAATATCTATACCCAAAATTTAATATAAAAATCTTTCGATGTTAAAATATTATCCTTATCATTTTTAGACAAAGTGGATATTTTATAAAATTCTGTATATAATTGTAAATATTCGTTAAGAAAGTGTTTAAGCACGCCTTTTATAAAAAAAATAATACGAATTAATCGCATCTTCCACTTTCTGTTAGTCTCTTCGATTATAATAATTGATTCATCGATATTTGGTTTCTCGAGATTGTTGTAATTGTTTTCGGAGGGGAAGGTTCTCTTTAAATCTCAGAGGAATTGGAAGGATTCCAAAGAAGAGAGAAACGAGCTGAGTGGATACGTTGTACAGACAATAAATGAAACATTCACTTTTCGTGCCAGAAATCGTATCACGGATTTTATATTTATTACTCGTGCTGCTACAGAGAAGCTTCTGATCATTGTTCCATTACTTCTGTCACGCGCGTATTCATAATTAACGTAATCATCGGTCCCCAACTGACGGAAAGAGAATAATTAGATTTATTAATTACATTTGCCTATCGAAAATTGTAAATGATTATTTCCAATCGCGCACTTGCGTACGGCACATCCCAATCAATTTCAAAGCAGACGTACATCAATCCGAATTATTAATTACAACAGCTCATTGACAGTGCCTCGCGTCGGAGCATTTATCGCTTTAACATCGATCATCAAAAGATATTGCGTAGTTTTCTGTTTCGAAAAACTATGCCAAAGGAAACGCGCAGCCAACTCGCAGAAATCCAATATTCACGTACGTGCGTCAGTTTCATTATAAAAGAACAATTTCTGCATCCGGTGTCTGCATAAATGTCATAAAGCTCGATGTAGTGCTACAAGTTGATGCAAACGTTAGTATTATAACAGAACGAATAATGGCAAGTGTCACCATACGCTAAAAGTTATTTGTATTCTTAATGACAAAAAATTTCTCTACTTTCCACCGTGTCCTAAATGCCAGCCTTCTTTTTATATTCCATCGAAGAATCATTTCTTTTCTTTTTTTTTTTTTAATACTTCGTTCAAATAGACAGAGGTATCTTTTAATTTTTGAGAAAAAAACGGAAGAACGCAGTTGCGTTGAAACCAAACTTAATCGAAACGAAAGAAATCGCCGAGTGCCGGAAGGGCGATAAAGTTGGCAAATAAGGCGAAAGGGGGAAGAAAAAGCGAGAGAGATAATGGAGGATTCCATTGTCCGATGCTTGGACCGACTGTTCCGACCCCTCGAACCCATCCTCTTGGTTGAAGTACTCTGAAGGACTCCGAGTAACGAGTTCCCTCCTCCGCAACGTGTCCGAACGGAGGACGCATGAAAATGTTTTTTTTTTTTTTTTCTAATCTCGTTTTCCGTTCCGTTTTTCCAGCAAAGGAGCTGAAGGTATGCGGCAGCGTGAGAAGCGGCGGCGAGGTGTGCTGCTCCGCGGACATGGAGGTGAGACTGCAGGCGAGGGCACGTGACAAACATGAGAAAGCCACCAAAGAAACGCTTCAACGGTTGCACCAGGTCCTGTCTACGAGAGGTACCAGGTTCCACGGTGAGTACCTTCATCTAACGTTCCTTCACCATTTTAATCACTTCATCGTTTCTCTCTCTCTCTCTCTCTCTCTCTCTCTCTCTCTCTCTTGATTCTTAATCGATGGTTTCTAGATGGTTTCCTCCTCGTCTGTTTATGCAAGTACGTAGGAGGTGGGTGAAGTTTCACTCGACGAACATTCACGCTGGCAAAACGGTCGAGCGATTACCCTCCGAGAGAGAGAGAGAGAGAGAGAGAGAGAGAGGCTGCCTGTGTGCAATTCCCGTTTGATCAGTTACCTTTAAACCCGAATGTCGCGCGCGAGCCAGACGCGCGTTTCTCTCCTTAAAAACGCGCGTCGAGTGTTTCGAGTACGAGTAGTCGACTGTAGTCGCGCCTCTTTGAGTTTCCTTGCGCTTGTCGAAGGATGAAACGTAGAACGCGTCGTGTAACCAGGGAGAACTTTTTAATGTGATTTTTCGTGAAACTCTTTTTTTTTTTTTTGTTTTCCATTTGCAGCGTAAACCTCCTCCCGAAGTTTGCTCGTTTTATTACTGGAGTGTTGTGCTGGATTTTTAGCAAATTTCGAAGTAAAAAGTTTATAGTTATAGTCATAGTGCCATGGCGTGGAGGATAATGATAGCTATAGATAGATATAGTTACAGATAGATAGATCTTTATTGTTCTTCTTGAATTGCAAATTTCCTTCTCATTCTCCGTGAGAATGAATTATGATCGATAATTATTGGAATTCTGATTTTCGATTCGTGAAAATGATATAGAAATTAAAATAAAATAATAATCATATAATATAATTTAGTAAATATTATTTAATATATTAAATTAATTAAATATTATTTTAATATATTAAATTTGGTACAGTATATTTACGAAATTTTATCTGATACAATAGTCATATCTTACTATACTGTATTACAGTAATATTGTGTTTAATATATATTAAATTCAATTCACTCTTCATGAAACATTATTTTTTACAATATAAAAAGAAATCTTATTTTATTTTTTGGAAATCTTATTTTATAACATTCGAATGTCAACACTTAGATGGACATACATATGTATACATATGAAACAATTGCTCTAAATTAGTTACTAAAGAAAAAAAAAAAATTTAACGTTAAAAAACACAGGACTGCACAACAAAACTTCTCCAAATGTGATAGGTGATTTTCTTAACAGATTAATTGAAAAAAACTCGAGAGGATGTTTTAAATTAATTCTGTACGTATTCGAAAAATGAATATAATACGAGACTGTTGAACGAACAAAAGTTTCGCGAAGTGATTACCAGATTCGGTAAAGCGAAAGCAAACGATTATGCGTTCTCGGGCTTCAGGTAGAAAATATAACGACTCGTTCAGACTGGCGGTACGGTAATTTTGCTAATCTTTTAATCCCTGCCCCCGTTTTCCAACCACGTAAATCCCCGTTTGATGTCGCGGCCACCATTTCTCGTACTCGTTACCTGGCAACTTTTCTGCCGGCGTTTTTCTCACGTTCGTTTCTTTCGCATTCAAAATTCACGTCTCGTGTCGTCGTCAATATAGTAAATCCTCGGCGATGAACTTTTATCACCATTTTAACAGCGGTTAACAGAAGTTTGTACACACAGCGCGTTCGTATGAAAATTTCCCAACGAAACGATCATTTTCGACAAGAAATATTTGCTATATAAAAGTTAGACGTTTTCAAGATCAATTTTTCTCAAATGATAGAACATGTTTAAGTACTGTCACGTGCAAGCAAATCTTTAACAAAATTTATTTTTATTACGATCGATTATCATGTAGATAAGGAGCTTGATTCACAAAAGAGTGAAAGGCAAGAAGATGAATATGATATCTGCGAGAGGGTGGAAATCTATATCGACGAGTCACGTCAATTATCACGTTTCTATAAAAATTGACTCTCTGGGACTCGACGCACTCGTTTAGCACTCTGCTGCCTCGTCTCGTCTCGTTGGACGAACTATAGCTGACTTTGACCACGCGATCGTGATGGAAATTAGACGGCGCCACGTGGAAGACCTCTGAGGCGCCTTAACGATACTCATTAACGAAATTAACGGTGACGGGGACGCGAGTTTCGCGCCACGGTGGCCCGACCTAGCCTCTTGCTCTTCCAGCTTCAATCTCAACCCCCATGGCCCTTTCCGTCCGACCGCGGCGCGGTCTTCGTCGTCGTCGTCGTCGTCGTGCGTTTCCCTTTGAGGCGCCACTACACCTAGCCGCATATCTAGCTACGTACCCACTTTGCCTGCCACTCGCCGCGACAGAAGTGCGCTGACAGAGAGAAGGGTGGCCAAGAGGTAGAGAAACAGGGAGGAAAGAGTGCAACAGCCGCGATGCAGGGGAGAGAGATAGTGTGAAACACAAAGTGAGGAGGGTAGACGAAGGATGGAGGGAGTCTTGAAAGTTTCGCGTGATAGATTACTGTACTGTTTTCGACTTTTTAACAAGGTGTTCGAGAAAGTTTCGCGGAGGTTGATTAACGTTCGAGAGCCACTCACGTCGCACTCACGATCAGGGAAGGAATTATTAAATAACGCACGTTCGATGACTTTGACACTGTCAATTGATAATTTTGGAGGTTTGTTTAACGTGTCTGAGTAATTTAATCCAATTATTTTCATCAGTGAATATTGCTCTCTTGCGAAGAAAGTGATTTAAAGCTCGGCGATGGAACTTTATTCGTTGAAAACTTGTCCGGGTTGACCAAGAATTATTATACAAACACATTTGACCGAAAATTATTATATAACACACGTTCGACAACTTGAAAATTGTCAATTGATAATTTTGGAGGTTTGTTTAACGTGTTTGAGTAATTTAATCCAATTATTTTCATCAGTGAATATTGCTCTCTTGCGAAGAAAGTGATTTAAAGCTCGGCGATGGAACTTTATTCGTTGAAAACTTGTCCGAGTTGACCAAGAATTATTATACAAACACATTTGACTGAAAATTATTATATAACACACGTTCGACAACTTGAAAATTGTCAATTGATAATTTTGGAGGTTTGTTTAACGTGTTTGAGTAATTTAATACAATTATTTTCATCAGTGAATATTGTTCTCTTGCGAAGAAAGTGATACAACTCTCAGTGAAGATAATTTCAAAATTATCAACTGATGGAACTTTGTTCGTTGAGAACTTGTCCGATTTGACCAAGAATTATTATACAAACACATTTGACCAAAAATTATTATATAACACATGTTCGACAACTTGAAAATTGTCAATTGATAATTTTTTAGGTTTGTTTAACGTGTCTGAGTAATTTAATTCAATTATTTTCATATAGTGAATATTGCACTCTTGCGAAGAAAGTGATACAACTCTCAGTGAAGATAATTTCAAAATTATCAACTGATGGAACTTTGTTCATTGAGAACTTGTCCGATTTGACCAAGAATTATTATACAAACACATTTGACCGAAAATTATTATATAACACATGTTCGACAACTTAAAAATTGTCAACTGATAATTTTGGAGGTTTGTTTAACGTGTCTGAGTAATTTAATTCAATTATTTTCATCAGTGAATATTGCACTCTTGCGAACAAAGTGATACAACTCTCAGTGAAGATAATTTCAAAATTATCAACTGACGGAACTTTGTTCGTTGAGAACTTGTGACCAACAGTTTGACCAAGAGTTATTATTATTACACAACACATATTCGATAACTTTGAAATTGTCAACTGATAATTGTGAAGGTTTGCTTAACGTGTCTGGATAATTTGAATCAATTTTCGCACCCTCGCGAAGATGAAGAAATGTAGCAGTTACTCAAGGTTTCTTCTCTAGAGAAGAATAGGAAGAAAAATACCGCGAGAACGATCGAAGAACGATTGAAGTACTTAAGTCTCATTTACCGACGAGTCTAGACCAGAGCTAATAAAACAGTCTACGTTCCAATCTCCCGTTGATGTTCGTCTGATATTTTCACCCCTGAACTCCCTCTTCTTCACCTTGACTCGTTTAATAGGGAAATCAAAATGTAGCTGCGACACGAGGCGACTTTTCGACGAGAAACAGGGGGAATTAGTCGCGAACGTGAGAGCATGTCGCGAATTAAAAGCCCGACGAAGTTCCTAGCCAGTCGTCGCGGCGCTAAGTGCTTCCTTCCCCTTTCACGCGGTCCGGAGCCCCGAAGCTTTTTGCCGAAGCGTTCACCACCACCACCGTCGTCGTCGTCATCGTCGTCGTCGTCTACCTATATTCGTCTACGACGATTCGTTACACACTGCTCTCTCTCGCTCTCTCTCTCTCTCCCTTTCTTTGTTCCTCTTTCACCCTCTTTCTCCCTCTTTCGCTAGGAACCGGCGTCGTTAAAAGGAATTTTAATCACATTCTTCGCGACTGAAGTGACGATAAGAACGGGTTCAGGCCTGTGACGAGGTTCGTGAGGTTACGCGTGTAGAGGGTGGCTCGAGCCTCACCCACCCTTTGTCGGGCTGGACGGTGGGCGTCATTGTTGCTTGGAAACTCTCTCGAGGACTTTCCACTCTTTTCTCCGAAAGCTTTCGCTTTCTTTGAAAAGCGAATTTTTCGTAGGAGAAGCCACGGTTCCTCTCGCCGATAATGGCTATTTGATGGCTGGTCTTACTCGGGAGATTTCGCGGGTCCGTGTTCAATCGAGGGATAAACTTTTCTGCTCCTTTGGTATTTTTTTCTTTTCTTCTTCTTTCTTTCTTTCTTTCTTACTCTACTTCTTTCTCTATGGTGGTCAACTGGAAATTAACGTTGAATGCAAACTATGGTTCGATATGGACTTTCATGCAGATTCATCATATAGATGTTTAAGAGTGATTACGACGAAGAAAACGAACGATTTTTAACAATCCTTCCTGGTAATTTATTAATTTATATAATAATGTAATGACACCTTTACAATGACCACCGACGTAGTTTATAGTTTATATTTTAATTTGAAAGAAAGTCTCCGTCGACGATTTATTTGCAACAAACGTTAACATCCGCTTCTGTTATCTGTTTCTCATGCGAGATGAATGGGAGTACAGGGCGAAGACAAATTGGCGACAGAAATCATTCTCAAAGTTCAGACGCGGCGCTACACAAACTTCGTTAACACGTTACCACGGGCCAGAGAGGGAAGTAGTTAATTAACGCTTGCAAATTAGATAGCAGTGTAGAGTGTTACGCGCTATCATTCGACAAGAAGAGGGAGGGGGGGGGGGCAAACATTGTTAACGGGCGATCAATCTGGCAAAGTTGAAATCATGGCTGGTAATTGATTTGCAAATCTCGTGTAACAGGGCGGGGGGGATCATCGCCCTTGTCTCGAACAGGTAGATCGATTCGATTCGATTCGATTCGACTCGATTCCCTCTGCAATTACGGATTATTCCCAGTTACGGCTGAAACCAAGTAGAAAACGAAAGAGGAAGATGAAGCATCCGTGCAATTAAGTAAATTGCGCTTTCCGTTTTATCCTTTCGGCCGTATCAATTAATCAGCATTCGTATAAATTATTTATACGTAGACTTGTTGTTGGGGAAGCGATTTCTTTGTGAACACATCCTCCCATCCCCGTGGTCCTTTATCTTTTATTTCAAGCAGACTCCGGATTCAAGCAAACTCGATTGTTACGTAAGAGAGCTGTTTGATAAACCGTTTGGTTTGTTTCGGTCTTTTTTGCAGGTTTCTTCAGGGATCTTCTTGCCAACAGTAAAAAGGTTTTCCACGAGATGTTTAAGAAGACCTACGGGATCCTCTACGAGCAGAATTCGTTCGTATTCACGGATTTGTTCAAGGAACTGGAGAACTATTACACCAAGGGAACGGTGAGTTCTTTTTAATTTCAAGCTTGTAATAAATGCAGCACATATTTTATATACAGGGGTTTTTTTCTCGCCGAACTGCGAGAGCTTGTTCTAGGGGTCAAAAAGAGGAGAAAAATGTTATGTGAAGTTTGCGAATTAACGCTGTATCATAATATATTATTAACTAATTTATATACAAATATATATATATATTAGATTATTTATTTATATATATACATATTAATATATTTATATTTTTATACTTTTATATTTATATTTTATATTTATAAATATAATTAATATAATTAATATATATTCATACTTATAATAAGTAGTGTTTTTATTTAAAGAAAAAATAAAAATAAAAATGCTACTTATTACAAGTATGCAATATACATTAATTATATATAAATTATACAAAATTTTATTATATAAATAATATAAATAAAAGTTATTATAATTATTATATTATTATATTTAATATAAATTGCATATTAAATTTCGATTTTAAATGAATTGATAATATTAATAATATAAATAAAATACAATTATGGTTGAATTGTTAATTAAATTAATATTTTATATATAATTTATTTGTATTAAATATATATATTATATATATAATAATAATAAAATTAACAATAATAAACCTATGGGGGGCACTGTATTAAAAATGTGTTTATTGAAATGCAACAATATACTAAGACACTTCATAGAGCAATAAATTCAGGTTTTCATCGATGTCAAGTATTTTATATGTGACTTTAAAAATAGTAAGTAACCATTTATCATTATTTATACCTCCTTAACAAAGCGTTAATTTGCTTACTTCGTATAACATTTTTCTTCTTCTTTTGGCCCCTGAAACAAGCTCTCGCAGTTTGTCGGGGAAAAACCCGGGAAAAACCCGTGTATATTACGTACGAAATTATTAGTCTCCAAAACACAATTTTTAATCCCTTGCAAACAAGTGAATTCAACTTTTCGATTTCCTTCCGTTCGAACTGTGCGCGTCCCAGTGGTGTAATCCACTTTTGTTTTTTTTTTCCACCCCCCCCCGGCGGTTTCGACCCTTACTTAGACCACCGCGTCCATTTTCGAAACTTCTCCGCTCGCATCGAAGCTATCGCCGGGCCACGACTATCCAATTTCGTTTGCGACGCGACAAATCAAATTCCACGATAAAATCGATAGGGGATGGGGATGGGGGAAGACGAGGAGGGGGGGGACAGGATCTCGATTTTCAAAGGCCGAAGAATTTGTTCGTTCCCCGTTACGCCCCTTTTTTAATGTTGCACTTCGCACACACCCGGCAAAGTTGTCGCGGGGGTGGAAGGTTCGTCGAGGGGGTGAAAACTTTCGGGTGAATCGGTCTGAAACCTCGACCCTCGTCCAGCGAACGTTTAACCGCGAGTAACGAGACTTCGTGACAGGGACGGCAGAACGGCTCTCGTGCGAAGGCGAGTTTAATCAATGCTTTTGACGTTTCGGGGATCGCGAGCGTTTGACCGATAAAGGGAGATTCAGAAAAAATATATATATATATATATATATATATATATATATATATATCCACGTTTCTTTCTTTAGATTCCTTGTTCTCTCTCTCCCTCCCTCCTTCTATCTTATATTTTCCTAAATTCGTGCCCCTCCACGAACGAAGATAAAATGGCCCTGTTGCCGGGAAGCTGCAATTACCGGACGGTTTCACTTTATCTGTCGGCAGTTGTCTGTTGTATTGGAATTGATATCCGGACGGGGAGGTTGTTTCTGGAGAAGTGGAGGTTACCCATTTCGTTTCAGCAAAGAAATATCCAGGGGCTTTCCGCGTATTTAGGTTCAATTCCTTTTCGTTTCTTTATTGGCCCCTTTCTCTTTATTCCTTGAATGGTATATCGTTGGATCGTAGATGACTGCAGTATTTATTATTTCCTCTGAAATTTTTTCGTCGTCTTCTCTCTCATTTGAGGATTTTTTTCTTTTCTTCTCGGTAGATGATTCAGAAATTTTTCGTTTCTCGAAATCGTTCAATTATTTATTAACTTTCGGCCCAGACAGAAGTTTCGTCGATTCTATAATTCGTCTGATAATGGTAATTAATAATTCGTGGTAATGATAAATAATATATTTTTATCATTGTGATACAGTAAAATTCTAATGTATACCTCGTATTGATATAATGACGTTAAAAGCTGTGGGTTTAGACTCTAAATAGATGATGTTAAAATTTAGATTCTATAACCCTCATTCGGGACTTAATTCTCTTTTACTTATATCTCTTATATTTTTGAAATTGTTCTCTTGAACCTTTCCCTTCATCCAATGTCTCTTCTTCAACATCCTCCACTGATTCACAAAATTTTACCACCCTTCGAAGGTTAATTATATATTTCTGAAAAGCTCAGATATTTTTCTCTTCAACCTTAAAACTTTTTCCTTCGTCCACTATCTCCTCTTCAACTTCCTCCACTGATTCACAAAATGTTGCCACTCTTCGAAGGTTAATTATATATTTCTGAAAAGCTCAGATATTTTTCTCTTCAACCTCAAAACTTTTTCCTTCGTCCAATGTCTCCTCTTCAACATCCTCCATTGATTCACAAAATTTTACCACCCTTCGAAGATTAATTATATATTTCTGAAAAGTTCGGATATTTTTCTCTTCAACTTCAAAACTTTTTCCTTCGTCCAATGTCTCCTCTTCAACATCCTCCATTGATTCACAAAATTTTACCACCCTTCGAAAATTAATTATATATTTCTGAAAAGCTCAGATATTTTTCTCTTCAACCTTAAAACTTTTTCCTTCGTCCAATGTCTCCTCTTCAACATCCTCCACTGATTCACAAAATGTTGCCACCCTTCGAAGATTAATTATATATTTCTGAAAAGCTCAGATATTTTTCTCTTCAACCTTAAAACTTTCTCCTTCGTCCAATGTTTCCTCTTCAACTTCCTCCACTGATTCACAAAATGTTGCCACTCTTCGAAGATTAATTATATATTTCTGAAAAGCTCGGATATTTTTCTCTTCAACTTCAAAACTTTTTCCTTCGTCCAGTGTCTCCTCTTCAACACTCTCCACCGATTCACAAGACATTGCCCTCTCCACCTTTACCATATCTAAGTATTATACGTATCCGCGGAATCTGTCGCGTCCAGGTAATCTAATGGCCGTTTCCGTTCGCCATACGTGGCACGGGTTCGAGATCAGGTGGATCGGATCGATCACACACACAGCGAAACGTGGGATGCAAGGTGGTGCGCCGGATAAAACGAAAAGGAACAGAGCGAGAAGAGACGGAATCGAAAGGGTCTATAACGTGAGACGACGTATTTCGAGGGCTCGATTGTCATTCAAATCGGCTGGAATTATTCAGCGGCGCCACTTGAAGCGCCGGGGCCTCGACTCTCGTGCACGCTCGAAAATGGCCCCGCATGAATATATTATTATTGCAATCGCACGCGTCGCTGCCGAGTAACGAATTTATACGACGGTGATATATCGCGTCGCGCCGAGGATTCGAATTTATCGGGCACCTCTCGTTTCTATCTTTCTGCATTTCCGTATATGTTCGATTGGCCAATAACTAACGCCGGATTCTCCCGGTAGACAGAGATTTCTTCGTTCTTTCGTCTTTGTTTCTCGTCGGTTCTGAAAGGAAAAAATTATTCGCCACTTGTAAAACGTGTAGTCTGAATCTAGAGACATTTAACGTTTGAATGATCGCTGAATTTGCAGAAATTTTCAAGAATTGTCAAGAATTTTTTAATTTTGTTACACTATATGTTTTTTTTATAAATATATAGTATACAATAATAGTATTTGTTTTATTATTTTATTTATTTTCTCTGATCATTACTCATTCTTTTATTATACTCATTTTATTTTTATTTCTTCAAAACGTTTTCGAATTTGTGCAAAACGGTATTTTTTCGAAAGACAACTTCTGTTTCTGTATATGTGCCTAAATTGCAAATTATAATTATATATAATATAATGTAATATAAATCAATTTTACATTGCACGTGCTACAATTTTATCAATATTTATACTAAATTAATTATACATAAATATAGTATATAGTATAATTATATATTAATATATGGTATATAGTATACAGTATATTAATATATGGTATACAGTATATTAATATATAATATATAGTATATTAATTATATATTAATATATAGCATATAGTATACAGTAATAACATATAATTATGTATTGCTATATTAACAAACGTAATACACAAAGACCTTAAGGTGGTCAAAAAAAAAAAATTCATTATATACAGAAAGTCCCAGTTTTCACAGCGCAGTGAAGAAGAGAATTCTTGATTCTTCTCTGCAAAAGCGAGTCAAAAAGTAAGAACAACATTCTTTTTCCACTTAAGATTTCCTTCACCCTTTTTTTTACGTTTCCTTTCTCCTATCTTCCATCCCTTTATTTGTGTTTCCCTTTTTCTTTTTCCGCTCGCACGTCCACACGGCTCGATAATACGTTCCGTCGAGCCGCAGGATTATTCTTTCGAACGAGACGATGCTCTCGGATATATCGGGGATGGATAGAAATTAAAAAGGAGCATCCCCGTGAATGGCTGATCGACGAGCTCACTGTACACCCTCTCGTAGGGGCGAGGAGGGTAGCTCTTTGTTTCATAGGTTTCGTTCGATTACCTGGCCTCTTTGCGAGCAGGTATTTTTAGAGGGATTTCTGCTTCTTTATTCTCGGGCTAGATTGTTGCTCTTGGGGGAGGTCAGTTCAGAAATTTAGAATATGAGATTTAGTAGAAGACTCGATCTTCATTGTTCTTCAATTTTCTTCTTTCCAGCGAATAAATATATTGCTCGCTATTATTTTCCTGAAATTTTTATTTGTACTCGGTCGATCAGCGTTACCCGTTGTGACATTTTTGTTTCTCGGAGATATTTAGGGAGAAAGGGCAGTTGATGTGCAGTGATTCACGAAAGATATTCGAACAATTGTCACTGTCGTGAAAAACTGTCGTGTATCACGCGTTTGTATAAAACATTCTGAAATTTTTATCAACTAACTGCGAATGAAAGACAAATTACATTGTTGATTATATTACGATTGAAAACAATCGTGAAAATGCTCGTAGAAATTGAAAGATATTTATTGCAATACCAATAGCCACTTTATGCATTAAATAAGTATTAGGCTTGTTAACATATATTAAGGGAGATACTTAGGGAGAAATTTGTTTTGTTCGAAAAGCAAAGGGCAGTGATTCACGAAAGATATTCGAACAATTGTCACTGTCGTGAAAAACTGTCGTGCATCACGCGTTTGTATAAAACATTCTGAAATTTTTATCAACTAACTGCGAATGAAAGACAAATTACATTATTGATTATATTACGATTGAAAACAATCGTGAAAATGCTCGTAGAAATTGAAAGATATTTATTGCAATACCAATAGCCACCTTATGCATTAAATAAGTTATTAGGCTTGTTAACGTATATTAAGGCTGAAACTTGAGGCTTGAAAACATTTGTACACTATTAGTTACTAACGTTGATTGTTTTCTGTTGCTGCAGGTCGATCTCGACGACATCATGGACAATTTCTTCAATACGCTCTATCAGAAAATGTTCACGGTGCTGAACAGTCAGTACAACTTCGACAGCAAGTACCTGGAGTGCGTGGGAGAGCATATGAAGGAGATTAGACCGTTCGGCGACGTGCCTCAGAAATTAGGGGTGCAAATCAAGAGGTCCTTCGTTGCGACGAGAACCTTTAGCCAGGCTTTAACCGTGGCCGCGGATGTCTTGAAGGACATGCAATCGGTAAGAGATTCTTCCTTAATTGTTACAATAAAGTAAACTCCGTGGAAAATTATAGTGGTTGGTATAAGAGAGGAAGTTTGATATGCAAGGTGTATTACATAATTTACACTGTTGCTCGAAAATCTTGGAACACGTGATCAATGATTAAAAGAGAAATCGGCAAACTTCACGAAAAGTTTGTAAGGAGAAAATTTCAATCTTCAGGAAATTTTCGAGAATGAAAGTATTTTTACTTTCACTCCCCGTGCACTGTGTTGCACGACGTAAAGATCCTCGAAAAGAACCAACTCGGGACTGTCAAGGTTAGAGCTTTCACGAGCTTTCACGAGCTCTTGCGCCGGAATGACGTGTCGAGAATTTTTTTTGTCCCAAAATTGCAATATTTCATACCGGTATGAACCCCAACATACTTTAAAATTTAGAGTATAGGCAAAACAAATAATGAATTTATTAATTATTATTATTTAATTAATAAATAACAAATAATAAATTTATTAATTATTATATTATTAAACTTGTCGATATCCAGCGATAACACACCGACGAATTCAAAAAAAAAAAAAAAAAAAAACGATAGAAGAATCTTCCAAAGTATCCATCCTTGATACCACCTCTCCCTCCCCTCCCAAAGGAAAACTGTTAACAACGATAAAACGTGGTAAGAAGCTGGAAAATCGGTTTGGTTTTTCACAGTTGAAACCATCGGCGGATTGTGCAGCTGCACTCACAAGGATGACGGTGTGCCCGGCGTGCAGCGGGATCACCGGCAACGTGTTAGCGTGCGGCGACATGTGTGCCAACGTGATGAAGGGTTGCCTGGCTCAGCACGCGGCCCTGGACGCTGAATGGAATCACTTCGTCGGTGAGTAATTTCCACGTGTATTGTTCCATTGGTAATTACAGGCTCGGCGGATGTAATTCGTCCATTGACCTCGAATCACGCACGCGTGAATATTTTATTTATATTAACAGTCGCGCGTGAAATGAGGAAACGTCTTAGACAGTGACGCTTGCTGCGAGATTCATTCAAGACTATGCACGAAGGCTCCGCAGGGGAGAAGGTAGAAACGTCAGGTTCGAAAAAACGAAAATTTGCTTGACAATCTCGTGTTAATTCTCGTAAGTGTGTCGAAATAAATGTGAAATAAATTTTAATTCGCAGTACGACGTAGCTAGCGACGAAGGCTGGACCACTGGCGCATATCACGCGATTTGAATGAAAATAAGTTTAGAAAATTTCTATTAATCTTGGATAGTATTTTTTTCCCCCTCGTCTCGACGTTTCGAGAATTTTTAAGAAAGGATTTGCAATGTGCAAGAGGGCATGGAATTCCTGGTTAAAAAAAAAAAAATAATTAAATTTCTAATTGCAGAAATTTTATGTATTTTCAAATATATTGTACAATTTACAAAATTGTTAAAAAAAAACAACAACATATTTCCAGTGTAATAATTTCTATGACCGATGTAACTTGCATCTCTCTCCAAATTTCAGAGGCCGTAGACAAGGTGGCCGATCGCCTGTTGGGCCCGTTCAACATCGAGATGTTAGTACGACCGATCAATCTGAAAATCTCGGAGGCGATCATGAACTTTCAAGAGAACAGCAACGACGTCTCGCAAAGAGTGTTCACTGGTTGTGGCCGGCCTGTGTTAGGCAGGCGTAGACGTCGAGACAATCGGGAATTGGAGCTCGAATCGTTGAATTTCGACCAGGAAACACTGACGGACGATCGTGCCGCACTTTTGGACAAATTGGTGAAAGAGACACGGCAGAGGGTAAGGGATTCGAGGCAATTCTGGGTTTACTTGCCCTATAAGCTTTGCAACGACGGCCTTGTGGTTCCTCCTAGCAATACAAAGGAATGTTGGAACGGCACGCACGTAGATAAGTGAGTATCTTGAAGATTTTCATACCTTGTCGTTATCTTTCATTGTATTTCCTTATGAAAATTTAGCAGCTGGCAGAGACTGGGTAAAACAGTTGTTTTAAACAGTAAATAAGTAAGCACTCTATTGTACAAGCAGTAATAGTAAATGATTTATTTTATTTTAAATTGCGTACAGCTTGAAAAATACAATATTTTGTGTGTTAACAAAATAAGTCTTTAAAATTTCAGCTTTCAACATTTAATATTTCAATAGCACAGAAATGGTAATTTCATTTGAAGGATTATAATTTATGGAATTGTTTCCATTTTATATTACTTATTTCAGATATTGAAAATATCTGAATTAATTAACTTCTGAATTGATTAATAATTCAACATTTTTTTAATTTTTGCATCGACGATTGCTTTATAATTTGCATAGAGTAAAAATTCTCAAAATAATATTTCATCGATGTTTCAATTTAAATTTTTAATTTATATATTTATTCTGTTTCCATGTTTTTTAAAAATTCGCATGCACTACCTTTTGAATTAAAATTTGCATAATGATCTCAGGCGTATAATTTTTTAAATCTCTGCTTCATACGTTCGTTCCATGTTTCTCGACGTACTACTTTTTAAATTAAAATTTCGCCATAGTAATTTCACGTACACAGATTTATTAATAAATGATACTCAAGTTTGAATCTACAATTCATACGTTCGTTCCTCTTCTTTCAAAAGAAAAGGAAGCACTGTTTAGGGTGTTTACAAGAGGAAGCACTGTTAAAAGGTGTTTACAAAACATTAAAACTCGGTATTACAAAATTTCAATTTGCACAGCCTAGTGCGTCAAAGTACCCAATTAACATTCAAATTTAAATGTTTGATTCACGTATGCCACTTTCTAGATTAGAATTACGTACAATGAGCTCTATCGATACTTGGAACGAAATCATTAACTTGTATGCTTGTTCCTCCTTTCTAAAAAGTAATCGCAAACGCTGCCTTTATAAAACATATTTACAACTATTTGTAAATTGATTGAAACTTCAATTTTCGACTTGCACGCTAGTTCAAGTTGATGTTTTGATTTAGATCCTTAGCTCTTACATTTGCTCTGTGTTTCAGGTACATTTACCCAGTGTCCTCGAACGGGGAGGAGCAAAAATTGAATCCAGAGGTACGAGTCACCGGGACAAGGCCGACGATAGTCAGGGACCAGATATTCGCATTGACCACCATCACGAACAGACTGAAATCCGCGTACAACGGACAGGATGTCGACTGGATAGACACAGGTTTGCTCTGCTAACATCTCATCCGCCATATCGTTAAATCCAATTATCATCAATGAGATGAAAGTCACGAAACAATTAGAATATCCTGAAACGAAGAATATCGTTAATATCAAATTACTATTCAATTTCGTGGAATAGATATGTAATTAACGTTCGATGGAACCATAGTAGCAAACGCGTAAGTGGTAAAGCGATAGGTTTGATTAATAGGAGAATCAATATCAGTATATGCAGAAAGCTAATTGAATTTAAGCGATTAGTTGAAATACCTCTTTCAAACAGGAGTCGTTTCGCTCATCATTGATCTGTTCTATTAATTTATTGCATCATTATTCATCAACAGTTTTCATTATTTTTTTATTATTTATTAGAGGTACGATATATTACAATAATTTCCAAAATTCTTTAGCTTTGTAATATATAATAATGCTGTCTTCTCTTTGGCCATTTCAAAATTTAGAGGTTGCATTTGAAATGAACGATCAAAGATTCTTTTATTTTAGGATATCAGTATATATTTGTTTTATTAACTGAAGTATTTGATATAAAACTAATTTATTTAAACGGGTTTGACTTTGATAAAGATCTCCAGTTAATGAGAGATCGTTTTTTCTTATGAGTAATAAATTATGATTAAGATGTTTAATTTATCGAAACTTCGGTCACAAACTTACTATTTCGGTGAACGTCGATCACAAACTATATAATTTTCTTCGAATTTTCTTTCTCATCATCGAGTAAAAGTGGATCGTTTGTAGAAGAAAAGTATTTAGAAAAATAATCGTAAAAATATTTGCTAAACAACATGATCAAAAGAGTAAGGAAATCCATATGACAACTTCCAAGAAGAATTTCAAGTCCTTCACTAAAACTAAAACTCTTCCATCAATTCAACCATCAAACCTAATGATACAAATCCAGGATCCAAATCGAACTAAAGGACATTTCCAAGAAGAAATTCTCTCCTCTCCATCACTATCATTGAACACCTCCAGGATTTACTACTCAATTCATCGTCTAATTTTCCTCTAATTCAATTTTTTTACAAAAAAGAAAAATGGGTACACTATATTTGAATAAATACGAATATGAAAGAAGAATTCAAAATGACCTAATCCCTAAGTCTATCTTCAGTCAGAAAGATATTTACTAAACAATATGATCGAAAGCTCGAGAAAATCCACATAACACCTCCAAGCAGAACATAACTCCTTCAAGTCTAGTAAAAATAAAACTCTTCCATCAATTGAACCACGTATTCCAAATCCATCAATTCAACAACATCTTCCAAGTTCCAAGCCAATTAATATGATCATATTAATCTAACCATCAGTCAGATCGACCAGATTTCCAAGAAGAGATCCTCTCCATCATCATCACCATCGTTGTACCATCTCCAGGATTTACTGTTTAATTTATCCCAACCGAGTGATACTCTGGCTTTCTGCTAATTCCATTTTTTGCAAGAAAAAGAATTACTATATTTGAGTAAATATGAAAACGAAGTAAATATTAATTTTACATATTCAAAGTGGTATAACAACAACTCAATCTTCAATCATCACTTAGAAAGATATCTACTAAACAATACGATTGAAATCTTGAGGAAATCCACATGATATACTTCCAGGAAGAATTTCAACTCCTGTAATATAGATAATAAAACTCTTCTAATTCAACCACATTTTCCAAAGATCCATCCATTAATTACTCACCTGATCAAATTTAAAGTTTGTCTACCAATCAAACCTAAACCATCGTCTAGACTGGCCTTCCAAAGACACTTCCAAGAAGAGATCCTCTCCTCTCCATTACTACCACCTTTTGGATTTACTGCTCAACTCACCGTCACCGGGTGGCACTTTAATTTTCAGAGGACACCGAGTGGAACGGTTCCGGGAGCGGATCCGGCGACGGCACCGATCAAGATCCGATCACCGACGACGAGGACGGTTTCAAGGAAGGTTCCGGCTACGAGCCCAAGTCCTCGCCGCCAGACGTGCCGAAACCGTCTTCTCCGATCGATCATCCGGAAGTGGTGCCACCGAGAGTGGACGTCGAGCAGAAGACGAGTATCAACAGCAACAACAAGACGTCCAGCGTGGACAATGGCGCGAGCAGACAGAAAATATCATTGTCGCGTGCTTTGACAACGTATCTCGTGCCCATAGTGGTGATGTGGTTCGGTGGCTGCCTCACCGAGTGGCTGTGATCATGTGGTTCCCGGGGAAGGACGATGCAAGACGATGTAAATAAATGTTCCATTTAACAATAACGCGCGTGGCTCCTGGCCTCGAGTCGACTGCGAGCCAAGCTGCGAGGCCAACAGCCAGTCGAGGAGAGCAAGGAGCTGAGAGGACGATGATAAATCGCTTTCTCCACGACGCGATGAAGATCTTCATCCGTTGAGGGAAACGCGTTCTTTTTCTTTTTCTTTTTCTTTTTCTTTTTTTTTTTTTTTTTTTGCACACGTTGTCTCGACAGCGTGCATCGTGTCCAGATATTCGCCGATGGAACTAACGAAGTTTCATCTTGCTCCGAGGAGTTTAAAGGGAAGAGGAGACTGGACTCCGTTGACGAAAGGATTGTAAAATGACCTGGGTCTGGATGTCTGAACGACGAAATATTTCACGACTGACGAGAGCGTGCCTTCAGGACGAGTGGCATGGTCGGCTCTAGCAGGGTTACGGACGACGAGATTTCCCTTTTTCCACGTTCCTACGCCACTGTTCAACTTTTCGAGGAAAATGACAAGAAAGTGTGTTTGTATGACGATGGAAAATGTAGGATACGATAATTACTTACGACGATCGATGGTGATTGGGATGATTTTAAGTATGTTTCTCGGTTCGTTTGATACGGTATCGTTGAAGAAGAAAAGAATTTTATTCTACGAATGTCAGAATTAACTTTGAATATTATAGAATTAAACGACCAAAATTCAAGAAAACCCTAACACTTATCGAAATATTGACTCTACGCTGTAAGATGAGATCAATTTACATGATTCTCTCTTTACAAAGTTATCAATTCCTTTCGCCATGCCTTTTTAATTGTAATTCAAAATTGAGGAGGAGACGTTTGTACAAAAGTCGAACCGAGTTTCTAATTAATATTTTCGATACAAAATTTTGAAACGCAGCGGCGTAGGAAGTGCAGGGGCTGCGTCGAGGACCTAAATGGCCTTGAACGTGCATGGAAAAACATGTGAAAGCGAGTATACGAAGAATAGCGACTGTCGGGCGTCGTATTTCCTTTCCCTTCCCTGAAAACGTTTTGAAAGATTCATGGCTCGAAGGGCGAGAGTGGTTCGATCGCGTCGTAGCTCGGATGGATCGATCAGAATGCTTAGGTTTTTGGGGTGACACATTTGGCGAGACATTGATAACATGCTTGTGTATATTAATAAAAAGATGGAGAATGAGAGAGAGAGAGAGAGAGAGAGAGAGAGAAAAGAAAGAAAGAGAGACGATTAAACCATTTCGGTTTTCACGAGGAAATAATATTAATTAATTATTTTTTAACACGAGAACCGTCTCTTGTTGATCAGTGTTGTTTGAACAGTTGCGAGTAGGAAAGTGAGTTTTCGTGGTGAATAAAAAAAATTATGAAAGTACGACGATGAATGACGTGTGATAAAAAAAAAAGAAAAAAAGAAAGAAACTCTCGTTTGTTTCGATCAAATTGTTGCACCATTGTTAAATAACATCGAACTTTCGACGAATTTAATTCTTACGTGGAGTTTTCTGATTTCCGGAGTATATTTTTCAAATTGGTATTTTTATCAAATTGGTAGATCGAAAATCAATCTTTTCGAAAAATTATAACGTGACAATAGAAGATCACGCGAATCTAATATCATCATTAAGTAGATTTATTAGTTTAATTTCGAATTTTTAATTGTTCATTTTAAACGTTATATTTAATATTTATATTATATAGGAACCATTATTTATTATAAATTATATAATAAATAAAATTATTAGTTTTTAATTATTCACTTGCAAATTTAAGATTATAATAATGAAGGATTGCGTAAATTATCAAATAATGATACATCAATACGTAATAAATTTGATACATCAATACGTAATAAATCTTAATTTAGACTTAGTCGAAAGTGTTCGTGATCCACTTAAGGGTTAAACTCGATTTTCAAATCGTACGAATCGATAAAATAGATTTATTTCTCAATTTTCTTTTACCTGGGATCTTAGATTTTCATTCTCATTTCTTCTGAGATAATGTTTTATCATTCGTCATTCAAGTGAAATCGTTCTGGCAATCGGAACATGTCAAGATGTAGAACAAGTGGTCGAAAATGGGATCCTGTGATAAAATTAAGTGAAAAAAAAAATGGCAAAATAAATGTGTAATAAAAAATGTTAGAAAAAAAAAAATAAACAAGTAACATTGGCCGCCAGTCACACTGTGGCGTTGTCGAGCCTAAAACAAGGGTAAAATGGACATGTTCTATGCAAATCTAGTGAAAATATTCAAATAAATATTATGAATAATTATTTGTAATTAATTATATATATATATTATTATAATTATTATAATTATTGCAAAGTGAAAATTAATATAAAAGTTGCGCGTTGCGTTCGGGACAAGTGGTAAAAAAAAAAAAAAAACGAGAAAAAAGAAAAATCTAAGTATGGAAATTACGCGGTTCTTCTCATCTTCCCTTTCTCGCCTGAGAAAATGATCTCGCGAGACAAAGGAAGAAGGGAGAACCTTGTACACACGTGTAGAGTCGTGCAGGGTTCTTGTTGGATTAAAAAAAAAAAAAAAAGAAGAAAAGGAACGTCTAACAAGTTGAATATCATGATGAATGGAATGGTAATCTTGGGGATGAAATTTTTTACTTAACTCGAGGGAAAAATGGTAATTTTTGAAGTACGAGTTACAATAAAAAGTCTCTGCGTATAATTCTGCCGTTCTTCTTCTCACTTCACATTTTATCTTTCTTTCTTTCTTTCTGCAATAAAACGCGTGGAACACACCAAGCATTGTAAAATTACACTGGCTACAAACAAACAGAGTTTTGAAATAAACTTTACTTCTTCAAGTGCAGACGCACTTCATTGTACGTTCTTCTGAGAAATATATTGTAATTATAATTTTGACGTAATTATAATTTTGAGTGTAATTAACTAGAATTTCAGTACTATATTAAAATTATGTTACGAATAAAATATTTATTTACTGAAGAAAGTGACTGTTTCTTTTGATATGAAATTTTAATGTGCTCTGAATTTAACAGAAGTGTATAGTACTGGACAGAAAAGTATGTATGATACTTTGCTCTATTTATATTTCACACTTAGTTTGATATTTATGTTGTATGTTAATGCAACGATAGACATGCTTATTTGTACTGAAATATTCTAAGAAAGAAAATTACTATTAACATATATACATTTTATATTAATTAATTAATAATTTAACATTACTATATTTTACACATTGACACATACATATACATTCATTAATAGATAAGAAGAACGGCAGGCATTGAAGCAGAAAATTAAGCTCACAGTAATTCTACAAAAATAAGAAAGAAAATAATCTCGAGGTAGAGTAGTTTTTCATTAAAAGACAAATAGAAATCTACTGAAGGTGATAAATTTCTGTTAAAAGAAAAATGGAATTATTCGGTATCATTAATTCAGTGTTGCAACATTTTTCAAAGATAACAGGTGCCAAAATCTAGACGTGTAAATGTATGAATATTCATTATGGTGTTCATTTTGTTGAAATGAGAAGATTTAAGGATAAGAAGACAGGGAACAGGGTTTTTTTTTTTATCGTGGAAGAAACATGGACCACTCAAGCAATTTTCCTGAAACTATGGGAGTTCCTTACGTTCGACAAATAGGAGCACCCTTGTGTTTTAAAACAGTCGGATCAACGTGACTTATGGCTAAGTAGTATCTTATTAGCGTCGAATATCCTTTGAACAATCGGTTGCATAATTCGATTTATCTCCCTTGATACGAAAGATGTTATTGCAATTTTATGGAACATTAATTGATAAAGATTTAAACGTAATTTTATGGAATTGTACAATATAATATTAATAATTAATTCGATCATTTAAAATTTAAGATTTAAAATTCTAAAATTATACAGAATTATATATATATATATATATATAAAGAGAGAAAAAAAATTACTCGTATTACGTTTAAGTTATAAAAAAATGAAAATGAAAAGATTTGAAAGTTGTGCAAGATTAAAATTAACTCTTACAATTTTTCTGTGTTCATGTTTTCAATAAAAACATCTTATATTATCTAAAAATAAGGCGTATAATTAATTGATCGACTGACTAATGATATATCAGCTTTCGGGTCAAAATAAAAGCATAAAATTGTAAGAGGATTAAAGTCGAAGGAAAATTTCTTGTTTTTAATTTTGAAAAAAAAAAGAAAATTAAATTAAATCTTTCACTTCGTTTTTAACGCAGCATCAAGGCAGTGAAATCGATCAACGTTCAAAGTGAAATATATTTACGTTTTCTTACTATTATTCCTAGTACTGTATTTATGTTATTCCGCCATTGTAAAGAGTAACGAGCAGCCTAGATTTCCGCGACGATTACTCATCGCGGACCTCGAAAGCAGGATCGTCTTACAATTACGTGATATTTCTTTTTATCCTCTGTCTCTTTTTTTGTTTTTTTTTTTCTTTTTGTTTTAGAGCTAGCTCACTGTAACCAATTAACCATACTTAATATTCAACCAATCTACCCTATGAGTTTATACATACGTGTAAAAGATAAAAGTGACGAGTGTGCGAGCGCATTTAGCCAAGCCGTCTATGCCATTCAAACGTGGATATCGAATTTCAGTCACGAGTTTCTTAAAACGACGTTCAATCCGTGGGGTGTACCGAAGAAGAGAAGGGAAAGTAAAAGAGAGGGCGAAAGGAGGGAGAGGAAAGAAAAGAGAAAGAGAGAAACTTTCCGAGTAATAGTAGATGTAATTTCTCGTCTGTTGTACAAAGATATTACGACTCGGCACGGAGGACAGTTCACGACAGAAACGGGGAAACAATCGCGGATGAAATTTAATCGTCGTATGTTCCATTTTTGTATGATCGTCGATCCTGTTATCAACGAGTGTTGCAGTGATTCACCGTGTGAAGAAATTCTGTGTGACTGGAATGAAACGAATTTACGTGAACAGAGAGCATGAAAGAAAGAAAGAGAGAGTATGATTAATTAATTAGTAATCGGATCGATATCGAGTCAATATTATCGATAAGAGTATTTCCACAAATACTGGCAAATACAATGTCAAAAATAGAAAATATATCGATGCTTGTTTGATATCTACAGAGTGTATAGTCGAATACATTCGCACATTTGATGAAAAATTATCGACAAACTATTGCAACCTCGTGATCTAAACGACTGGCCCAACGCTTTAACTACTTGCGCTGGCAACTGATTGCGGACCGTAACGAGTGACCAAACCGTACACAATAATTCGTCGCTTTCTTTTCCAACTCGTCGGTATGACATCAATGGATAGAAATTATTGCGAAGTAATAAATTTATTTATTTGTTTTGCTCCGGTTATACTTCAATATATATTTAAAACTGAGGAAATATTGCAACTTTGGGATAAAAAGTTCTCGACGTGCGTGGCACGTCACTTCAGCGCAAGAGGTTAAAGCGCGAAACCTCTGCTTCGTCGTCCTTGAACTCGTTTTTTTCTAAAGTTGAGAGAAAGCGAGGACACTTTCGTCGTCGAGAACTGTCAAAAATAACGCCTCGAAGATGACTGGAAATTATTTTCTCGCGACTAGATGTACCATGATGTTGAAGATTGAAGTCTTCCCTTTACACCAATCCCTTAAAACTCGCTATACAATTTTTTTTTTTTTGTCGTCTTATTGAACATTTGCACCACGCGACAAAAATTTAAGAAACCCTCTAACGTTCTTAAACTTTTCTAAGAAAATAGCGGGAAAAGATTGCGCAGCGAGTTTCAAGAGTTGAGACTGCAACCTTTGATATCAGTTCAAACGCTCAAAATCGTTGTCAAACATCTGAAACTTACTCGTCGATATTCCTTACTTTGATTTTAATTGTTCGAATTATTATCAGCAGCATCGGTGTCGACCCGATTATTAATTGCAATACAATCGTAATCACACAGTTGGTAAAAGTGAGACGTTCTGATCGCGTATTTGGAATCGCATGCTATTCGAACTTTTCCAACACCGATATACATATACACTTTGTCCCTGTTTTTTTTTTTTTTTTTTTTTTTCAATGAAACAAGAGCAATTCCAAATGCAACGATGCGAACCAGTGAGAATTCTGGCAAAACACTTGTTATATCAATTAATACGCGTTTAGAACGATTAACCCCTTGTCTTACAACGTCCTCGCTGTTTCGATTTTCAAAAGAAAGATCGCGATCTCGCGCCGCTCGAATTCGAATTGGAAATTGAAAATCAATAAGTACAAATCGTATACACATGCACGACGTTTCGGTAGTTCACGTCCGACACAGATTACGATAAATTGAGATAAATGGCAGATTGAGAAGAAAATCATAGGACGAGGGGTTGAAGAAATATAGAGAGGAATTAGAGGAACGAGGAGCCAACGATTAATTTGGCCCCGTCGCCAGTTCTGTTGCGTGATTTTTGAAATTATCGACGAGAACGAATGAAATGATAATGATGAATTGGTCGTGACTGGAGGAGTTCATTGTAGAACTGTGGAGTATCTCAAAAGTGCCCCGGTGCGAATGGAAAGAGGATTTATATTGTAAGTGGAAGTTAGTGAAATTCACGACCACTGCGAGAATGTTGTGTGTTCAATTGTAAATTAACCCTCTTCCTTCCATTTTCGAGAGAGAGAGAGAGAGAGAGAGAGAGAGAGAGAGTTCCGGTGTAAAAATTCACGGTTTCGGACCCTTTGTACTCGATCTTACTGATATCCATCAGTTTGTGAATTTGTTATTCGATGTTTTTAAAAAAATATACCACGTCAACATTCGATTCTCTATTTTTCTTATATATTTCGCTGTTGTTGATCATACATTATTAACCCTTTGCGCTCTGGGATTATCTTCTAAATCTTTCTCGCGCGACAACTCGATAATTGAAGGCGTTATTTATTCGATTATTTGTTTATCGTGTCATCATCGTTCGTGTGCACATTTATATTTATATTTTGCGGTGTTTCATTTCATCTTTTGCATTTCTGAAGGTGCAAAATAAAACGGACATAATGTGCAAAATAATTACGAAAAACATTCAAAGTTTGATATATGTTACAATTATTGATCAGTAGCAGAATTATATAGCACGTTGCCCTCGAATAGTGGAGGAAAATCGGAGGATAGAATATTTATGCCAGCACAACTGAGAATCCAAGTTGTTAGTGAACGCAAAGGGTTAATATTTCTCAACCAATAAATTCGATATTTCGCCAAGTATTTAGTACATTAAATAATTTATTTGCTATGTACATTAATCAATTTAATAAATTCCAATAATTTTCACCGCCATTTATCATTACTCGCGTATAATAAAATCAAAGTCGACAGTGCCGATTTCAAATAATTCGAGAACAAAGGGTTGAATAGAATCGTCACTCTTCGCGAACGTATTATTCTTACAATCGTGTTGAATAATCATTATACGTGTAATAAATCCACAAACAGAAACAATCTTCGAAGGATTAGCGACCAAATTACCATCACGTAAAATATCTTAAATAAGATAATGGATCTTCATTAGGGTAATGGATCTCCTTAACGAAAATATCGTATATTCTTTACAAAAAAAAAAAAAAAAAAAAACAGCAATACTGCCCATTATATATTGTGATAAGCTCCGTCATAAAAATTACGTGAACCGTATCCCGTTCGTGTTTTTTTTCTCTTTCAATTTACTCGTTTGATTTACAATAGAATTTAATCGTCCACTACGATATTAGAAACGCAATGAGGTAGTATAGAGGATCGTATAAATTTTCGAATAACGATGAAAATCAACGTATAATACAATTATCAGTTCGAAAGTAAATGAATTTAATTTATAATGTGATTATTGATTTGATGAAACGAATTTGTTTAATTATAATTTTTAGAAATTAAATGAATTTTAAAATTGAATAAATTGAGTAACAGCGTGCTTTAAACGGCCCATTTGTAGGTTTGTACATACGAAATCAGAAGGAATAAATTGATTGATCGTCGTGGCGACAAAATTATAAATTATATGGGAAAAGAAGAGGACGAAAGGAGAAAAAAATAACACGTTACAGAAACAAGAAACTTACGTCGCCGTCGCGACGAGCTTTTGTTGGCAGATTGCACGTGATTTTAAATGGTAACTAACATCTTCGTTTTCAACCCTTTGGCGTTAACGACGTGGTACTTTACCACTTTACGAATTCTTAAATTCTAAAGTTCTTTCTAAAAACCTGAATCATTATAAATTGTTATAAAGATGCAATAAAAATGGAAAGTTGTCGATACTTTTAACTTCGAGTTCGTTTTTTCTTAAAGTAAGGATACGTTTATTCTCAAAAATTACAAGACATGGAAGATCTTTGAAAAATTTGCGATAGAAGAAATCGTGTCGAATTCAGTATCAAGTCTGAAATAAATTTCTTATTCCAAATCGTCTCCCAAAAATTACAGGCTCTCGAACATGTAACATTTATTTGTCGAGCAAACTTTTGGAATTCGTCGTCGTCGTGCATCCAAGATACACGTTGTAGCTTAATAATTTCAGTATTAATCAAACAGAAGTTGGCTAACTGGCGGTCAGCCCTTGCCCCTACTTTCCTGATCTTTACCCCTTCCACTTTCGTCGCTACGCATGAGCCCCACTCTCTCGTGCACGGTGAGGAGAGATTTCAATGTAGTGGGAGTATCGATGCAATGGAGGGAGCAGGAAAGTAGGGGCAAGGTCTCGCAGGCCGCCAGTGCCTTAGCCGACTCTGAATTAAACGATGAGATAGGAATATTTAAGGAAATAGAATTGCTTAAAATTTACAGATATAGCCGTGTATTTATAGAGTCGTTTATACAAGATTTATATCCTTGTAATACCTAACAGATTGATTAGTGAGTTCAATTTCAGTGATGTGATAAACGGATAGTAAAGTGCTTGAAACGTGGCTTTCCTTTTAATTTTCTTTTTTTTTTTTTTTTTTTTTTTTTTTTTTTTTTTTTTTTTTTTTTTTTTTTTTTGGGTTTTTTTTTTTTTTTTTTTTTTTTAATTTAATTCAAGTATGAAAGACTTGCATTAAATCACAGACAAAATAAATAATGCGTGTGTGTGTGTGTGTGTGTGTGTTTTCTTTTCTTTCTCAAGAAACCTCCTCTCCTTTTCTCTTCATAAGATTCATCGCATTTTCAGAAAAATTTTAGTCCAAGATCATACTCGTAAATATCACAAATATTCATGAGCAATCAGAAACTTTAAAATCACGTTTCAGAATGCTCTTTTTCCATCGCAATCAGAGATAGAAAGTGATGCAAGAAAGAACAAGAAGAACAGAGAATCTTCGATCGATCGAACGGACGCGGAATTATGTACTTGGCCGCCAGTAGCGACGATCCGAAACGTGATTCGATCGCTCGATTATTACGCGTAGCCAGCAACCGTGCCGATAGCGGATCGTTGTTTTCCAATCCGATCATCACGGCGATAGATTGAATAACCGTGTTTGGCAACCTACAATCCGAATTCCACGGTAATTCACGTAATCGGTATAATCGCCACTGCTTGATCGAGCGAAATCGGAAGTACAATATTTCTAACGTATAGTAAAATTATAAGAACTTTGGCAAGTATCTAATCTTTCGAAACCATCATTTTAACTGACTGTAAGAATTATCGCAATCCAAACTATACTCTCGTTAGAATCATTCGGTATAATTTTTGAGTGTAAGTTTCTACTGCTAGAGTATAATGCTATAGTACTTTAATTACAACTGATTAATTTGAATTTTGAGTGTAGGTTTCGGTTGCTGGAGTATATACTAATTAAAGTACAATCAAATACATAATTATACTAATTAATTAATTATAGTTAATTAATTAAACCTAACCTAGTCTAATTTAAATTTGACCTAAACTTAACCTAGAATAATTAATTACAATCAGTATTATACTCTAGCGGCAGAAACTTATGCTCAAAGTGGCAGTTACTTAATTATTAAATATTAACAAATAATTAATTACTAATTATTAATTCTTAATTTCTAATCTAAACCTAACACAGATTAATTAATCATAGTCAGAATTATACTCTAGCAGCAGAAACCTATGCTCAAAGTGGCAATTACTAATTATTTAATATTAACAAATAATTAATTATTAATTCTTAATTTCTAATCTAAACCTAACACAGATTAATTAATCATAGTCAGAATTATACTCTAGCCTAGAAACTTATGCTCAAAATGACGATCAATTAATTATTAAATATTAATGATATTAATTAATTATTACTTGGCAATTATTAATTGCTTTTAATTGCCCTAGACTAAGAATTTCAATGTCCAAAGAGTTGATTGTGTGCAATATATGCATCGTCAACACTATACTGAGCAAATCGCTACTGAAATCTTGCAACTCTTTGCACTCTCCATTTTACTTCCCTATTAGAACCGTAATAAATTCCACTCTCTTCCTCTCTCTTTCTCTTTTTCTCAACGTCTCTTTTCTAGTGGCGCGAAAACTCCTTGACGCACGTGCGCGCACAAGCACGTTCCATCCTCGACGAAAACGAAGAATCAGAAGAATCATCCTCAAGCGCGGAGAAGAAGAAGAAGAAGAAAAAGAAGAAGGTGGAGAATAAGAAAACGAAGAAGCAGCAACGACATCAACGTTAGCAAGCAAGAAGTCGAAGATAGTGCTCAAAACCGACAGAGAAAGATGGGGAAAGCATAGTGGAGCTACGATGACACTTCGAATTTGTACGTAGTAACAAATTCGAATAACATCAAGCAAGATTTGAAGCTTGAAATCGGCTCGTCTTGGATGAGCTTTCGAATTTTCTATAAACGGACAAAAATCGAGTGTGGTAACGAGCATTTAGTATCTTAATATCAGATGAATATTCAAGTTAATATAATATAAAGTTATAAATTATAGATATTAAAGAAAATCCAGAATGGTCATATTATTAGATACTCGTAACGCTGCCAAATTCTGTCACAACTCCGAAAATTTTTAAGGCTAGAAGGACTAAGGATGTCAAAATTTCCAACTTTTAAATTTTCCAAGGCATTCAAGCATCCTTGGATTTGCCAAGACTTTTAATGAGCTTTGAAGCGTCCGAATTATCCGTGTGCCAAGCGATTCGAATTTCAAACACAGGTTCGAAAGCTTTCAAGGTTCGAGGCTTAGCGGAAATTTTAAAAATCAGAACTTACCAAGACTTGGGACTTACCAAGATTTTCAAAGGGTCTCTACTCCTTGTTACTTTCATCAATTATTTCAATGATCAAGCTACTATCAAGTTATTAAGCTATTATTTCGTTAATTATTTTCAAGCCGTCGTCCGGTACTACGTCCGTATTTATTTTCATAACAGACTTGCTAGGATAAAGTTCATCACGTTGAATGAAAAAAGGAAATTTATTTTCAAGTACAAATTCGAAGATTTTAAGATTTTCAAGACTCGAAACTCACCAGACTGAAGAAACTGTAAAAAACTCGAGACTTTCAACCGTTCCAAGCATCGAGAAACACCTTCAAATACAAAGACTTTCTAAGACTTTCCAAGACTCAACACATTCACCAAAACTACCAGAAACTCAAGAGACTTCCAACAGTACAGTAATCTACGAACGCACAATTCAAAGTGATACGAATTCGCTTTCAAGCGTGGAGTTTGCGTGTTTCGGAGCGGTTCGAAGCGATTCGAAGTGTCTCAGATCCCATCGCTAGCCGTGTGACGAGAGAGTTTAGCCGGTGCGGCCTAGCCTCGCTGAATCGCGAGAGAGAAAGAGAGAGAGAGAGAGAGAGAGAGAGAGAGAGAGAGAGAAAGAGTGGGGAGAGGAACTACGTGAGCGGCCACGGGGGTTGGCGGAGGGAGAGCTCGTGGACGAGCGGTTATTTCAAGCGACGACTCTTCTGGCACTTCGCCCCGAGCTTTCCTCGAGCGCATCCTCTCGCCTCGGACCGCGTTCTCGTGTCAGTGTCGCCGCGAAGCCAGCTACAATCGAGTCACTCACTCACTCACCCAGTCAGTGGAGACACAATCGACTTCAACTCGATCGAGCACAGTCTCGGCAATCGACTCTGACTGACTGGATCTGAAAATTTCAAAAAACGATCGCAGAGATTCGGCCGAGATTTCCGTAACGTTTCGACGTTTTTCCATACTACTTATTTTTTTTTTTTTTTTTTGATGGTTGATATGATCGGTGGTTTGTTGACAGTTGATGAAAGCAGTGGACCAGTTGATGAAAACGATAAAAATTAACAATCGTTGAACACTTTGGGAATCGAAGGAATTTTGATAGATTGCAGTTTGGTAGAGAGTGGACGTTGTCAGTGGACAGTTGTAATTTTGGAAACTTACTAATTAAGTTTGGACACTTTGGATATTGAAGGATTTTAATTTTGAAATTTGATAGAGAGTGTTAACAGTCAGTTAATGGTGGACAGTTGTTTGACAGAAGTTTCAGTTTGGTGAAGCAATCCTGGGACTAACGTTGGGAAATTTATGGGGAAATTTTCCAAAGGAAATTGGCAACCTTGAGAAATTTTCAAAAACGGACCTTGACAAACGAATTTAATCGAAAGATCTCTAAACAATTCTAAAACAGTGGAATCAGTCGTGGAAGACTCCAAGATTTAAATTTCGAATAAGAGAAAAATTTTAAAGGAGAATTCAAATTCGGCACCGCGTAAAATTCTCAGTTTTAAGAAACTGAGAGGGAACGAGAGATCCTCTGGCTATTTGGGAATCAGTGAACTTTTCAACGTTTCGAAGGATTCGCGCGTAAAGTTGACCGGAAGTGACCAGTGAACGTGTGGAACGGTGTGTTCGCCAAACACGCTAGTGCCTTCTATCGACTCGGTTTAGCTTTCAATCCGACACACAGCGCACCAGCAACGCGTAAATAAAAGGAAATCAAAAGAAAGAAAAAAAGAAAAGGAATCCTCAAACAGTAAACAAAATTCTTCTCGAACTGTGCACGCACCTTTTTCTCCTCGATTAGAAACAGAAGAAAAAAGAAAGAGAAGTTGGAGACCGCGAGTCGGGCGATCGCGGATGAAGATGGAACCGTGGTGGAAAGAAGAGAAGGAGGATTTATAACTCGGCTCGCCTGAAATAACAGGAGGAATGCGCGCATGGTGAATCAGCTTCCTCCGCGAGAGTGCGAATTTCCTGACAGCGGCCACGCGATCCAGGATCGGAACCGAGAGAGAGACTGCTGCAGGATCTGCTGGATCGTGCGTTCGAGTGTGCGTGCGTGTACATAATGTGTGTGTGTAGGGACGCGCGCGCGTGTATACCTTGAGAAAAGCCAGAAACGCCAGAAGCTCAGCGAGGGGAACGAGAGAAGAGGACCGGGACGGGAGTCGCGAATAGACAACGGTTTTTCTTGGAAAGAAGTCGCTGACTGGTGAGTACTAGTTTCACGTAATTTCCGACGGGACGCTAATTCCCGGAAAACTCGCGATTCCTCGGGAAGGAAAAATTGCTGAACAGAAGTTTTAGAATTAGATACTGAGAAGCGTGTTTGATTGTTGAGTTTTATTGAGCAGATGTTTTGGTTGAATCTGTGAAAATTGGAATTCTTGAGAAAAAAATTGTAGAATAAAGAGGGAGGGGGGGGGGGGTTATTAAGAAGCGCGAGAATTGATATGGAAAATAAAATTCTAGAGGTTGAGATTTTATATGAAAATTGAAATTCTTAAGAAAAATAATTATAGAATAAAGTGAAGAATTGTCTGATTGTTAAGGATGAAGAATATTTTTGGCTGTAGAGTTAATGGCAACAGAATATTATAAAGAAATAAATAAAATTAAGTAACCACATTGAGTTAATTAATCGGTTAATTAATTAAGCCATTCTTAGTTTTAAAAAAGCTTGAACCACGATTTATTAAAAGTGGACACAAATGCAAATGTCTGAGCAGACTGTCGAAAGAGAAAGAGAGATAGATGGACGCGCGAAAAGTGCGTTTCCGGCGGCGAATGCGTATTTCCGGTCAGCCAGCGAGCAATTTCTCGATCGAAACGCATGGGTATGGGACGAAAATTTCGTGCGTCACTCTGGCTAACGATTTATAGATCGGATGGAATGATCCTTGACGTTGTTGATTGATCAGTCGAGACGCGTGTAATACGTACAACACGAATCACGTGTCTGGCTATCGGCTACTGAATTACGTGGTATTCAACGTGATATCAACGATGGAATTCGAAGTTTCTCTTCGTATAAATCATAATCGTCTGTGACGTGAACTGAAATATTTTTTCACTTTGCAAATTTTTTAAATTTTTTTACTGTACATGTATTTGCATACATTCTATTTCTGTTTTTTTTTTTTTTTTTTAATTTTTTATACTGTTACAGTATCGTTATATCTTTTATTTTATTTCTATTTATTATTTCTTTTCCTTTTTTATTTAATTACTCTATTTTTACAAAAAAACTATTAAAGTCTATAATGTTAATTATATTATATAATATTAATATTAATACTATATATATATTCTAGCGCTTGATAGTTAGAATAACATAAATATTTATTGATTATCCGTAACATAAGTTACGTTATCAATGTATAGTTATTCTTCGACGCTACAATTATATTCTGTGATCTCATGTTCTATGAAAAATTGTAAATTGATCATTTTGACTTTGTTAATTCTGACCTGAAAGTTAGAGTTTATCATTCTGAAATTTATTACTAAAATTATATCCTAGCGAATTTGTTCGAACATACTGAACGAATTTACAAATTCCTACTTTCGATTCCACAAATACATAAATAGCAATAAAAATATATATATATAATATATTTTTATATTTAATTTATATATATATTTTTTTTTTAATAAACAGCGCGGATAAAAATAAAATTGTAGTTGTGGAATCGTACACTATTCTATTTTTATTTCGTATTTATAATCTACCCATAAATCAGTACTTAATTCTAATTTAACGTGGAACGTCAGGAACGATATAAATCTTTCTCAATGAAAATAGAAATTCTTAAAAAAAAAAAAAAAGATCGGAAACTGAAGTTCTCGACGACCCAGTTTATTTACAGAAGGTCAAAGAAGAAGATCCTTCATCGAAAAATTAAAGAAGGCACAATAGAAAATAATAGAAAAATAAAATAATTTTCTAATTGTATTTAACAACTCTGATAATTTATATAAAAATTTATATAATTTATATATAAATTTATATAAAAATTCACCTTCGGTCGAAATTTTAACCGACTCGTTTAATTTTATAGTTAAAAGTCTCCTTTCAGCTTCCTGCTTGCAATTTTCTCTTGTTTATCGTTCTGTGACACCAGACGATGTCAGCGTTTGTTTCAACGAAACAATCGTATCACCATTTCCTATCGATTCAAATGCCGATCATACGCGAGGAAAGGGCACGGAATCGCGTTCCACGGACGAATGTTGAAAAGAAAGAAAACGACGAAGACAATCGGAGAGGAAAAACACGAATACATGTGTCCGCAGAGCTCGTACAATGGCCTCTTCGTGAATACAACACGTTCGTCATTTCTCGATGTAATGCTCCGTGTCTGTCGGTTGGATTCAGGCCGTCATCTATCGCGCTCGCGGATCTACGATCGATGATCCAGTCAAAACGACGCTGCATCGTCATCGATTCACGATTCTCTACGCAGGCTTGATAACTTTTATTGTGAATAGTAGATACTGTACGCTCTGAGATCCTCTAAGCTTCGAGATAAATTAGTAAATTTGAATAATTAATTGGATTCTTCATTGACTTTTATTACGTATCTACTTTCTTAATAAATTAGAGAAATAGGGATAGATGTTAGTGTATTTTTTTTTAGGAAGTATTTTTTTATTTTGAATTTGACTCATTCTATGGACTTGATGTTAAATAAGTAAATGAGTAAATGTCAAGTGTTAAAATAATAAAGTGATTATGTAATTTGCATTTACTTTGAAAAAACAGCGTTGCAATATTTGTTTAGAAAAATTTTTGTTCTATAAATATTTGTTCTATAAATATTAATTTAATTTTTAATCAATTACTAAACTGAATAACTTTTTTTTTAAATATATATTCGAAAACAGTATGAAAGTTAACGCAATTTTGATTTAAATTAGTATTTTATTATAATATTGCATTTTATATTCTGGTCAGCATTTTCTGTTAATATTCTATTAATATTTTATATTGTAATATATATATATTTTTAATATTTAAATACCTGATATTAATATTTTAATAACATATCTAAACAGATTATTTTTTGGTATATTTAAAAAAATGAATATCGAACATCGTAATACTGATTGATAAATGAGGTTTTATAATAAATCTCGCAAGGAAGATTATTATAATATCGAGTAATCAATCAAACAATACTACAGTATAAAAATATAATCATGTGAGATGTCATCAACAAGGACATGCCTATGTAAATCTATTTAATCGATTAATTGGACGTAAATTATATAAGTATTGACTAATACACTCTATCATAAGGCAGCAATTAAACGAGGAATAAGTATAATTATTGTGAAATTTGTACTCGAACGTATACTTAGGCTATAATTAGAATATTTCATGCTTAAATCATCACGGATGAACGTTACTATTATATAATTGGCTACGATTTATTATGGAATTTTGTTCATCTTTTTCTTCCACTGATTTCTGTCATAAATGAAAATATTTCTTTCGTTCGAGAATTTTGATAAACTTCAACAAATTCGTTTTTGAATAAGATTTTAAATTAAATCTGAATAGAATATTAAATTAAAAAATCGAAAAATCCAAGAAAGGAATTTTTTGAAAAAAGAAATAGAAACCTGTACCTGTTGTAAATAATGATTTGTTTAATTGGAACTTATGTAAATTGTTCAAAAAATTAAAGCCTAACGTGAGTGAACATTTTATCAAGATACTAAAATTTCCTAAGCAATATTTCCAAAATTCAAAAATTTCTGAAATTCTAGAATATTTCCAAAATTCAAAGATTCTAAAATTCTAGAATTCTAGAAAAATCCTAAATTTTGAGATATCCGAACGCTAAAATTCTGAAATTCTGAAATCTTAAAGTTCAAAGATACCGAGATTCTAAAATTTCAAGATAGTGAAAATTAATCAAAATATTGTAAAATCTGCAATTCTCGATATTTAAAATTTGTCAAATCTATAATTTTACAATTACAGTTAAGATTATGGAAATTAATAATAGAAATTCTTTACCCCGTCAATGTGCGAGAGACTTAAAAATTCAAGATTCATATTTTTATAGATACATAAAATGGTTGCAAAATTGGAAACTCATTACTGTAATATCCCCAACGCAACAATTTTTACAGAAACGCACGAAACTCCGGCTAATTGTCAGTTTATATGCAGACGTGATTAATTTTCTTACGATTAATTCCCTGTGTGATTCTGTCGGTTCGCGAACGATGCGCGCACGTCCAGCATGATTTCGATGCCAATCGTTTGCATGGAAAGTGTACGGCCAAATTACCCCAATTCTCGTCGTTTAACCGGGCTACTGCCTCCGAACGTTCCGCCAGTGCGACGAGGAACGAGCAACGCGCCGTAGACAGAGAGAAGAAATGGCGGGAGGATAATTTATTCCGGCTTTATTTAATCTCTTCCCTCGCGTCTCGGCGCGACGCGACTTGCTAAGTTTCTTTAATCCAGATTCCAGATCGACAACGAGGAAAAAAGGAGGCAAGACGCATTTGCGCGCGTGTGTATAATCTGTTTGTTCTAAATCTAGCGTGCGTCAAGCTCGATTATTTTTCACGTTTATTAACTTTCTCTTTTTTCCTTCTTTTCACGTTTATTAACACGACTTTTATTTTTAACATTCGGTTAACGATATCTAATTTGGGGATCAGGCTTGGAGAATTATTCGAGCAAAGTGCTTGGAGATTGATTATTTGAATAATACATCGTGTCTCATCTTGACTCTTGATGTTGCCTTGAAATAATCTCGCGTTAATTTACTCGAGCGAGAAGATCTTTTTCTTTTTCTTTCGTTCATTTGTTGTTTAATTTGTTTTTACAAATCGTTTTTCATTTACACTGAGCCTTCACTTAATGACGGGATTATTTATTTTCAATAAATTAACAAATATTCCTCGAATAAGTAAGAGATCGTTGAGATCACTTTCAAATTTTTACAAATGAGAATGATCAATCGGGTGGAAATGGCTCAAAATAAAATTAGCCAACTCTGTTAAAAATGTATAATAGACAAAGAGACTAAATAAGGAATAAATTTTGGGGGAAAAAATCATCGATCATTGCCTTGGAATTTTAAATAATTTCTAAGTGGTTCTCGTTTAAAATCTGAACACTAGATGATATATCTAATAATTAATAATTATTACTTACTAATAAAATTAGATTTACATTAGAACTTA